GAAGACCACTGGAACAAGACAGAGTGGTCTGCACGGGGGGGTAAGGGTGGAGAGGGATTAGAGCACTTGTCAGGTTTTTATTGCTATCTGTGTCCTCATTAGGGAGATTCACCCTCTCTATTTGTCCTGGTGACTGTTATCTTTGAAAGTGAAAGAAAATCCCAAATTTTGGGTTGTGATCAGAATAGGAATAGATGGGAAATCTTCCAAAGGGGATACTACCTCTGGGGCCCTGCTAACCACCTGGAATTTGACTCACTATGGAGGGATTTCCTCTTACTTCCTGCCAACACTGTTCGATAGGAAGTGAAGGGAAATTTCCCTATTGAGACACAGATGACAAAAAAAAAAAACAGTTGACATGGGTTATAACCCTCCTTTACTCCACCTAGTACTAAAAGAAAAGTTTTGGTTTCAGTTCTACTTTAAGGGCAGGAATAGGCATTATGGATAGTAGACACCCTAACGTGCTTCCACTTACCTTCCCTAACTTCCCACGCCTCCCCATTTACCTGCTGGAGCCTGGGACCCCCCCCCCCCCAAAAAAAAATGCTACTTTCAAGCATACAAGAGCCTGTGGCTCTATTCCTTGGTGCCTAAATGGCCAAATGGCAGCCCTAAGGTCTGGCAGGCAGGAGCAGGGGGGTCCTTGGCCATCTGTGAACTTTGACCCAGACCTGATCTAGAACATACTGTACATAGGGTCATGGAGGAGGGCACCAAAGTTTAGAACAATCATCAAAGGGTGCTTGATAGCTAATTAATCTGTTCATTCACCCTGGTGGGTCAAAGCTTAGTATGCTTTGAGGACAGGGGATGCATTGAATAAACGTAGGGAAGAGGGTGGGGGTAGTAAGCAAAGATAGTTCTCCTACTGCTGATGTTGTCAATATACCTAATTTCCAGGCTCAAGTCAGAATGTTTAGCTTAGCTCTCCCATCATCCTTCTAGAAAACCCTCTCTTGTTGGAAGAAAATATTTTTTGGATGTCATCACCTGGCTCATGATCTTCCTCCTCCAGGAAGTGTCTACAGGGCTACGTCACATCGGTGCACATGGCAGATCTAGTCAGATAGCCAGCTAGGCGACTTTTTCAACAGGAAATGCAGCTGTTAGAACCGTTATGCAGTAGATAGCATTTCCTGATAAATTGGAGGTTACATAGTAGATAGCATTTCCTGATAAATTAGAGGTTAAATGGTAGATAGCATTTCCTGATAAATTAGAGGTTACATGGTAGATAGCATTTCATGATAAATTAGAGGAGAAAGTAACTGGGGGCCACTTGAAGAAGAAGCAAAACAATGAAGATGGAGCACTTGCTTACATGCCAGGATAACAGCTTTAAGTCTGAATTATTTCTAAATGTTTGGAAAAAGCTCATTTTGCTTTAGATGTTGAGCCAGAGAAGCATTCATTTTATATTTCTGCTCCAGTTAGCTTTACTTATTTTCTGTTTAAAATGTTCTGACTCAAGTCCATTCTGTTCTTTATGCTCTAGCTCTCCCATGAAAGCCCAGGTCAAATCCCGATTGAGTTGGCATGACTGAGGTGAAGAAAAATATATGTCTAAGACTGGAAATTGCAAAGTTCCTATGTCTTAAAAATTGAAAGGAGAAAACATAGAAAAAATAGGATACAAAGCAAAATGTTTGCGTCTTCAAGCCTAATAGATGATAGCATGAAAGTTACTGTAATATGCAAGATGAATGTCACCTAGATCAGTGGTTCTCAACCTGTGTAACCTCAGGACCCACATTTGTCCTTGGCTATTAAGTCGCGACCCAAATCACACCAAACTGGAAAGCACGGCATTGGGGTGCCGCACGTATCGGTTCGGGTGGTCGAACTGTGGGCGGGAGGTGCGTTTTGGGTGACGAATGGCAATGCCCGGTAGGTGCGATTGTGCGGTACGGTGTGTTAATCGCATGGGTGCGATTAACACACTGTACTAGTGGGAACAGGCCCTTAAAAATCCCTGACAGACCCACAACCACAGACACAATCTCACACACTAACAGACATTCTCGCACACAAATTTTTATTTTTTTTTCTCTTTTTTTTAAGAACCACCCAGCCTTCCTACCTTACAAGAATGGAAGTGGATCCTCAGCCTGGGGTCCAGCGTGGGCTGCTGTGCTGTGACGGAGCTCCATCCATATGCTTGTACAGCTCCCTTGTGTGCCCCGTAGAGGTGCCGGGAGCCAGAATGTGACATCACTCCAGTCCAGGCACCTCTACAGGGCACACGAGGGAGCAGCAAGCAAAGTATGGATAGAGCTCCCTCATGCCATACTCCTAGCCCACCCCACCTCAAACTGACACTCGGTGTCGGGCAGCAAATTATGAATGGCTGTTGGGCAGGAGAACTGACAGTGCTGCTCTAGGGGGAGACTGAGGAGCCTCTCACCTAGTGCAGTGGAAGGCAGCGACAGCCCACTTTTGGGTTGTGACCCACCAGTTGAGGACCTAGATGACATGTTTAAAAATGGTGGTACTGTCAATGTGTAAATTAAAGCTGAGCTTTGTGCAGACATTGAAAACAAGCCAGTTTGGCGCAGTTTTGTGTTCATTAAAAAAAAAACAGCATTTATTTTTAAATGCAACTACAGTATTATCAGTACTTGAATCTGTCACTGAGACTATGAGAAGGATGGGTTACACTCTTAGCTGATCTGGCTCCACTAAATGCAAGATGCAGACAAGGAACATGCTAACAGGAGGAGAGAGATGACCTCATCATTCTGCTGCTTCGCCTTCCTTATCTTAGGGTGGGAAGGTGACCATGCTGTATTGCTTACATGTAGTTGAAAAAATCAGGTCACCATCCTGTCTTAGCAGAGCTGTGTAAATATCAGGACTGGCTGAAAAAAATAAAAAATCCGTGGGCAGATAAAACTGCTTTAAAATGTGTATTTCAAATAAGTGTTTAGCTATTTGCCAGTAGTTCATTTAAAAAAAATGCTGATGTTGTATATCTCAGTTTTAGCTTTTTTCCTTTGAAGTACTTGGGATGCTAGGTCACTCCTTTCCCAGTTTCTGTGTCAAACTTCTTCAGTTCTGGGTATAGTGCCAAGTTCTTTGTTCTGTAACTCCATGGCCTCTGACTTCCTTAATAAACCTTAGAACTGTTCCTTCTTTTTCTGAGTTGATTGCACCTCTAGTCATTAAATATGCAGCTGCTGTTCACCACCAGTTGGTTGTCTCTTCAGCATTGGGCTGACCGTAGACGTAAGGGCATGATTGGACATGCAGGCATGATACGGCAGCCCTCATGATCCGCTGCATAGGGAGCTGTGTACTTGCAAGACTGACCTACTAATGTGTCATGTCAGTGGATGAGAAATGGGAAGCTGGGGGAGAACAACTTTCCATCACGCTCACTTCTCCATTCAGCAGGGAGTGTGACTGTCCAGTGGATGAAGTGGACCTCTGCAGACAGCCCGCTGCTTTCACACAAAGAGCAGCAGCCCTGATCTTTACCCTGTAGCAGTCTTTACTGTGTCGCCGACTACTACAACGTTTTACAGGATCCCTAGCAGGAATAAATGATGTATACTTACACTGGGCCATGCTGGACCAATGTAAGTATACGTTAATATTTATATCTGGTATTCAGCTTTAAGAAAAACATAAGATATTTAAAACATTTTTGTTTGTACTCTGCTTTGATACATGTATTAAAGGCAAAGTCCACCTTTTAGAAAAAAATAATAAATGCATACTTCTTCATATCTTCATAGTTGAAATAAAGTACATTTATAATTTTTTTGCATTAAAGCCAGTAAAGCATTGGAGTCCTGATCAGTGGATGTGAGTGCAGTGCTCTGGCTCCTGCAGATTCTTCCTCCCGTTCATGTCTTCACCTTGGTATGGACATTCAGTAACATGGATGGGAAGAAGAATGAGTGGACTACAAGTGTGGTGACGTCACTGCACTTGTATTCTTTTGAGAATACAATACTGCAGCGGCTTCTCCATTCACAGATCCTGTCAAAGGAATGGATGGCGCGGCTGTGAGGGCGAAGCCACGCACAGCTACGCCAAATTCAAAATTCAACAGCAGCCTGTAGGGAAAAGGACCTGGCAATTTAGGTACGTTTAGGTAAGATGGTGTAGGTGGTGGTGGGGGATCGGGCTGTTCATGTGACAGTGTTTCATGTTACACCCTGAATATGGCTGGAACATGAAAAATGGTCCAAAATGTAAACTTAGCCAATAAGCTTTGAAGAAAGCAACAATGGGGCCTTAGACCCCTTTCACATAGGCGGTCGATTGGGTCCACCTGTCAGTTTTTTAAATGGACCCGACTTGTTGCCCAATGCTTGTCTATGGGAAGCTGGGTGTAAATGGACGGGCATCCATATACACCTGGTTACCCCAGACTCTGGTCAGGACCTGAAAAACAAACAGAAGAGGGTTGCGTTTCGGTGGACCAGATCATGACAGATTAGGGGTAACTTTATGTAAATAGAAACATGTTCATTTACATCTTACTCCCCATAGACCGGCATGGGGTCTGGCAGTTTTAAGAGGAAAAAACTGGACGGACACGGATGTCCCCACGGCAACATCCGATCCATACTGATCCGTGCACAGATCCCCCTTCTGATCAGCCCGTGTGAAGGGGGCCTTAAAGTGAATTGTGTTAACTTTCTAATTATAGCACAGTTGCAGTATTTGCTCAATAGCTTCACTAGCTTACTAATTGCTTTTGTATGTTTCTTTTATAAAGAAAATATAGTTACTCTTTAGGTGACAGAGGCCTGCGCTTCCACAGGGAACATTTCCCCAGGATTGCAGCATTTAACGGAAGTGATTATCTACAGATTAACAGTAGCAAGGGCCTCTCTGACCTTCTCCTTTGCACAAATGGCTTCCTTTTCTCTTTGGGCTTCTGCCTGTTGAACATGTGTCAAGCCATTTAATAGAGAGATGAGATCCTTCTTTATATGGGAATTTAGTGCTAAGTGACATCCGCTTTAACCTCTGCCTTCCAGATGACTTCACAAACCTGCTGCTTGCCGAGGCTCTGCTGGAACTCTGTTTAAAGGAGAATGTTGCCAAACTCAAAGACTCCATTCCATTAATGGAAAGCAAGGAGCCAAAACTGCATCAAGCCAAGAATTATCTAACTGGTATTCTAAACAGAGGCAAATTACCAGTAAGTACTGTACTCTTTGTTAACAGATGTGAATCTTGTCTGCTTTGATATTGCTATTGAACTTGTTCTTCTGCCATTCCTAATATGTAGAATTGTGCGCAGTCATAATTATCCCACCCAGACAATGTGACTGTCCAAGCCCTGAATTGTTTGGAGTCCCCGGAATATATTCAACTAGTTATCCCCCACCCCGCACCATTTTACGGAACTCTACTGTTCGCAGTCATAATTATGAGAAGATCAAAATAATTTTCTGGCGATTAATATGTGCCCGTGCTGCTCCTTAGCAATATTTTGCCCACAAGGGGACTGTGGTAATGGTCATGCTCTTATATGGAAAGTGTGGTACTTATTTTAATGAGCACACATTTGGATATACTATTGTACTGTTGTACCTAAACTAATTTGTTATGTGAATTTGGTACACCAATGAAAATATGAAAGATCCAACATATAATCATGTGAAAGTCATATCTAAATTTACTTTGGGGTAAACATTGCTTACATACGTACTCCCGGAAAATACACTTTGCTTTCCGCTTAAAGAGTTTTAAAGGGGAAAAATAGTAAAGCAAAGAATATAACATATATAAATGCTACTCAAATAATTTTGTAATTTAATAATATAAAAAATGGCCTTTCTATTTAAAACTGCAGCCACTGTAATTTTCTAAAACTGTCACAAAATTTAGTGCAATATGGCGATTTGGAGGCACAGTTGGTATACAGAATGCCATCAGAAATGTAATTTCCTGCCTCTGTGATTGGCTGACTGATTTTGACAGACGGCTGCACTGAGATACAAGTACAATTTTTGGTGACAATGGTGAGATACTCTCTCTAAGGGTTAACTACTTCTAAAGGCATGCAGACACTGCAACTTTGCTTATTAGAACACAGAAAGTGCACCCAACCCTCCCACTCAGGAATCAGTCTGGAAAGGATATGCTGTGACAAAAAGATATTCCTTCAGAACAAAAACAGGTAGGAAATTGCAACAAAATTTGTTAAAATCCTTGCACTGCACATTGATCACCCAGAGAGGATTGATGTTTTTCTCAACAAAAGTGAAGTTATTTTTACAATTAAAAGAGAACTATGGCCAAACCATTTTTTTACTTTAGCTCTCTTTTGGTTCACAGAATACATTTACTAATGTACTCCTGTGACCTAAACGCAGCATGTCGCAGGCTGTTGCCTGCTATATGCTCACAGTGCAGAGCCGCGCTGCAGCCAGGAAAGATCCAGACAGTATTGTTGGGATCCACCCCGTTGCCTGATTGACAGCTGGCTTTGGCTTTAGAGCCAGAGTCAGCTGTGCCCGCCCCCTCCCCTGTCTGTTCCTCCAATGAGTGCAGGAGGAATAGAGAGGTGAGAAGGGAATCCCTGCGGGAAGTAGTGACTGGCAGTGCAACACGGCCCCCTGCCCGCAGTACCATCAGCCTTACAGGAACGCTTGGTAATAAAATACCCTCCGTTCCAGTGTGCATGCACTATTTTCTGCGATCGCACCGCACTGGAAGGCAGGGCAATTTATTACCACGCGTTCCTGTGCAGCCGATCGTACTGCGGGCAGGGGGGCATATCTGTAGTGTCATTGGTTTGAATGGCACTGCTACGCCCCCTCCCACCTTAGAACGCAAGGTGACTTTATGTATGCAATCCCTTGTGTTCCGGGCACGGTACATTACGGTAGACGCGGCTGGAGAAAACAAGCCCTAAAACCAGAGCTCTTCAAAGCAAGGGAATTTACCCTTTAGACAGCTGTCTCAGAACAGGTTTATTCAGGAGATGATTTTCCCTCACTTCCTGTCCCTGTGGCAACTCAAAGTTTTTGGATTTCCTATCCCTTTTTATTCCAGAGACAATATTTACCAGGATCAGTAGTGAGGGTGAATCTCTCCAGCAGGGGCACAGACAGTAAAAACCTGATATAGGTTCAAACCCTTCCACATTCTATCCAAAACCAAAAGGTTTTGGCTTTACTTCCACTTAAAAGGAAACCTTAAGGGCCCGTTCACACACATCAGTGGCAGTGAAATGGTTAAAGTATTTGTATCAGCAAAACTTAATATTAGTTTCGAATAGAGTAGAGAAGGACAGAACCCCTGCCATGTTGTTATTGTCATATCTGTCCCTGCCTGCTGGGGAGATTCAGCCTATCTATTTGTGTTAGTAGCCATTATCTCTGACAGAAAGTGATGGAGAATCCCAAACTTTACAGTTGTCACCAGAACCTGAGGTTGGGAAGTAATGGGAACATTTTGCAGTGACAACTGTCAAAGAAGGGATTTCCTGCATTCTGTAGAGATTTCTTCTCACTTCCTTTTGCGTCTCAGGTATAGGAAGTAGAGGGAAATCTCCCCAATGAGACACCGACAGTAACAAATAAACAGGACAAATAAAACAGGTTGTTTTAACCTTTCTTGACCTAAACCTAAAAAAAAAAATATAGATACACCTTAATTTTACATGATTAGTCTATTTATTTATTGATTCATGTAATTACTTTGATCAG